GGCAGCAATTGAAAGGTTTGCTGTTGATCGCATCCACTGAGAGAAGGAATCTGAAGGGAGCTCTCCTGATCTTATTGGAGGGATAGATGCAATCAGGAGTAGATGGTCCTAAAGTATCAAGGTCCTGAGACATGAAGGGCTTTAAAGATGACAACTAGCACCTTTAATTGCACCCAGAAATTAACTGGTAGCCAGAAAGCTAACCCTAGTCATCTCAGTGATAAAACCATACATTAAGGTGGGAAAAGCTGAGAATGAAATAAACCACAAAATCTAGATTTAAAAGTTACATTATATCTACTGTTATCTAGCATTTATGTATTTAAATTGTTCAATACTGTATAAGTATTTTAGGTGGTTAACTTTTTTAAAGTCCTCACAATTGTTGACAGGTGCAATGTACAAGCTTCTGTGTACTACTAATTTTTTTTTTCTCCGAAGTCTAGATTTCTGCATACTCTACTAACAAAACAGCTCACAGTTGAGAGTAACTTGGTATTTATATTTATCAAGACATACTGCCATTTGGCATATGTACTACCTTCTTCTTGCTTAATTATTCCTACTACTTATCAACATATCAATCAACCAGCATGACCTGCAAGCCATATTAAAACATCTTTAATTAGGTGAGACTTAACTTTAAGCTTAGCTTCCACTTTTGGATACTAAAACTGCAATATAGTTATACAAACCTGGTAATTATAAGTTGGCTGGTATCCTACAGGAACCTGCTGCTGAATTAATAAAGCTGGAGAACCATAAGGATATGCCTGCAAGTTCAAAAATAAAGTTACTTTTTGGAAAGTTTTCTTCCTGAACAAGGTAAGTCTGGAAACCAGTTTTGAAAATCTTTCTTTAGTTACAAGACAGAAGTCATGGACAAGCTAGATTCCACTAGTAAACATCTATCTGTAGAACCTGATTCATAACCCCAAACAAACTATATTTGGTGCATTGACAAGTTGGGATAAGCCTTAACTTTATGAATCCCTTTCCCTTTTGTGTTGGTGAACATTCTATTTTTAGTTAGTGATTACTTAGTTGGTTGCTATTTTCAAATTTAATAATTAGTTTATAGCACAAGAAGCCAAGATAATACACCAAGTAGCTATCTTTTCTCCCATGTTCACAAAAACAAAGAAGAATATAAGCCTTCACTCATGTCTGAAAACTGTATGATAAAGTTTTATCTAAATAACTTTGTTGACTGAACTATGAATTAAAGGGGATATGACTGAAAAAGCTAGTATCTGCAACAAGAGAATGCACAAAAGAATTTTGACTTGCAAAAGAAGCTAAAAACACAAAAAGGGGCCTTTTTTTTCTGTATCTGAATTAAAAGAAAGAAGAAGAGGAGGAGGGAGGGAAGGAGCTGCTACTTAGGAGAAAATGATTTTACAGCAACAGGTGACAATGAGA